CGTTTGCTTGGTAAAATGGAGGGTCAGCGAAAAAGGATAAGACCCTCAGTGAGATGGATTGACACAGTGGCTCAACAGTGGGCTCAAGCATAGCAAGAACTGTGAGGATGGCACTGACTGGGCAGTGTTTCCTTCTGTTGTGCACAGGGTCACTGGAGTTGCAGCCAACTTGATGGCACCTAACAACAATAGCAAGTTTTAAGTTTTGATTTTGTGTGTTGAACAACTAATTGCTGAAGCTGTTCATTTCTTGGAAATCTACAGTTACACCTGGTCTTGGAGCTCATTTTCTCTTCTGGGTCAACGACCCAAACGCTCCAGGCTTTAAGAACTGATAGAGGATGAAGGGGGTACATAAGGAATCACAACACTAAGTTGTGGATAAATTCAGACACAATCTTTGCTGTTAAAAGCACACTGTAACAGACAAAACAGGGATGATACCAAAGAATTTATTGTAAATGTAGTGGCAAATACATTGAGAATAATCATCATTACAAAGGAAGTAGAAAATTATATGTCTAAAGTATGTGCTTTTTTCTGCCACCTTTAAGTTGTGGCTAGTACCAACATCTTAAGTACTGAGATTCTTGATGGGATGGTCCACATGATTTCATAATTGTGTATCTTCATCTTAAATTTTAAAACAGTCAATCATGAGTTTCAGTTTCAATTATTATTCTCTGTTTTTATCAATTCTGTAATGATCTGTAGAATCTTGTCATCTGTGTGGAAGAAAAAGAAAACCGTGAACAAATTCAACACTGATTTTCTAATGGTATATCCATGTCAACAGCAGGTATATATCATTAAAAGAACCTCATAAATTTCAATACAAAATTGACCATGAAACTAGAGAAGCCTATAAAATGTAACTTGTTGCCCTACAAGTATTATTTTAATTTTAATTACTGCTAGTTATATTACAACTACTTTGTCAAAAGCTGACATTTTTAATTTGTATAAGCTAAGGTATGAAGCCATGATGTGACATAAACTGTACTCCTTCACAAGGAATAATTTCTTTAAAATTCCTTTAAGATGAGAAATTTTCCAACTTTTTCACCTGACTCAAGTATACTAAGGGCTCTAATGGCTGTGCCATGTTCTTCAGAGTATGACACAATTTCCAAAGTATTGGCAATGAAGTTTCTCAACAGTTAGCCCAATGGAAACAAAGAAGTTCTGACAGGGAACTGCCTTTGGAGCAGTGCCTATGGATAAGTTATAGACTTTTCAAAACAACAAAGGAATAAATTACCAATTGTTTTGATGAAAAGCAATAGAGGCTGCATTATTTGTTATTCATTAATAGCTGCTTCTAGTTCTAAACAGTTCTGAAGCTGTGACTTCTAAGAACTTCATAACCAGCTTTCAGGTAGCTGTAATTACCAGGGCTGCAAGACTGAAATTCTACATTGATTAGACATCTTACTGGGAATTCTGGTAACAGGACCCGTATTCTCATATTCAGGCTACAGTGGCATTTTTTTTTTTTTAAAAAGAGAAAGGTCACTTCCTGGAAAGGGACCAATGTCAGGTCCAGAATGAACCATGATTTTCAATTTGCGGAACAGGAAAAAGTAAAAGAAAACCCATGAGCAGTTCCAGTTACTTCTTTTGCTTCGCATTATATCACAGCTCTTCTTATTGTGAAGCCCAGAAGGAAAGGACACTAAACACTCTCCCTCCCAAGTCAAAAGTACATGTTATATCCAAAGGTAAGTTCTGATTCTCTTTTATGACAAAAGGAAAGAATGAAATAATTTAAAAAAACTCTCATTTTGTTTAATTAGTTGATTTAAGCTTTAACTTAAAGTCATTTTCTAATGTTGGATTAAGCTGAGTGGTAATCACAAAGCTCCTTAAACTAGAAGCCCATGTATCTTAATATCAAGACCAGATGCAGCCTTCTAGCAGTATAAGCAAATCAACAGTTTAATGTGTGCTTATGTGTGTGCGCACATTCAGTTATACAAATAAACAGTGAGGCTTCAAGGGAGCAGCACTAGATCAGTAGCTCCCCAACTTGCCTGATTATTAGAATTAACTGGGAACATTTTAAAAAACAGAAATCACAATACCTGAACCCAGCATTAATTCTTAACATCATTTAAAGCAAGACAACCAAACTTAAGTGCTTCCTGATGTGATACAATGAGAAAACTATAACACCCCCTAGGAAATACTATTTTCCTAAAAACCTGATTCTAATCAAGCCTCTAGATATAACTACCAGTCTGCAGAAAATGCAGAGGACAGAGAAACAAATCAAAGCATGAGGATACAACCAACCAAACTTAAATGTGAAAAATTCTAAATTTTACTTGAAAAATAACAGTTTATTAAGTATAATTAATTGCATTTAAAAGAAGAGGGTGGTGGCAATAGGAGGAAAGTGTTATAAATTTAAGAGATTACAAAAAAAAGTAACATAGTCACTAGCCTCTCCCTTAGAGATTCAGTGTGTCTGGGTTAGGTTTTTGGAATTTGTATTTTTTATGGCCATCAGGATGACTTCATAATGATTTGACAAATTTGGGAAACATTACATCAGGCTAACTGGAAACTTAGATGTCCACTGCAGATCTTTTGAAAGATAATGTTTTTATTTTATATAGACTAATAGCTCAGCATTTGTGAGTAGAGAAAACACACTGGAATAAATCTCACAGTAAGTCTCTCCTCATTTTTATAATAACTGCATTACCAGTTTAAGTAGGATGCAAATAAGTAGCAAAGTTTACTATATTCAGTTTTACCATTGCTTTTTTCAGTGAAATGGCCAGAAATTTAGAAGTGAAGCTTAGGAGGAAGAGGAAACTAAAAGAATCTTAAGTGGATAATTAGATTGTGAACAGTTAAGAACTGTCTATGAGATTGATGGAATTCAGCATAAATTAAATTTTATTGAAATGATTTTGAATCACATGGAATTTAAGTCCCCCATGTGCTATAGTTTATTCCAATATTTAAAAAACTCCACAATTTTTAGTATCTTTCAGACTATTCCCTTATGAAGGTTTTGAATAATTTATATACATGTATGTCTATGTGTATATTTATTTACATAGAGATATATACATATAAATATACACGTGTACACTGTCTTCCACCTACATTACAATTGAACACTTACTTTCAAGGGACATCTTAGGATTTTCAAGCTTTTTTCTTAAAACAGAATCAATAAGAACTCTTAGCTGCTTGAAAATAACGGCTATCTTTACAGGGGCCTGTTGAGAGAAGATGACAAATTAGATAAAGTTAATCCAGGAAGTGTCAGTGTGGTGAAGTAAATCAAAGGAAGCATATAGACCTTACAATCTGCCTTAGCACATCTTAATTTTAATATGAAATATGGTGGGAGAAAATAAAGGCAAATTACTTCCTGTAGCTAAGCTGTGCAAATCTATTTCTTAAGTACCCATAAATTGGATCTATCGTCCCAAAATAAACCAATTACTTTACTAAAATTTATATTTGTTTTCTTTCATGAACTGTGTAGGCATCATGGTTATATTTTTGGGGCGGGATTTTTTTTTTAAACAGTTTATTGAGGTAAAATTTAGAAACCATACTATTCATTCACTCATTAAGTGTACAATTCAATGATTTTTAGTACATTTACAGAGCCGTGTAACCATTACCACAATCCAGTCTTAGAACATTTCTAACCTCTTGCCATCAAGTCGATTCTGACTCACAGTGACCCTACAGGACACAGTAGAACTGCCCCTTAGGGTTTTTAAGGTTGTAATTTTCACAGAATCAGACTGCCACATCTTTCTCCCATAGAGCAGCTGGTTGGTTTAACCTTTCAGTTAGCAACCAAGTGCTAAACCACTGTGCCACCAGGGCTCCTTTAAAACACTTCTAAACCTCCAGTGCTGTGGAGGTGATTTTGACTCATAGCTAGTCTACAGGACAGAGAACTGTCCCATAGGATTTCCAAGGCTTTAAATCTTTGAGGAAGCAGACTGTGGCATCTTTTTCCTGTGGAGTGGCTAGTGGGTTTGAATGGTTGACCTTAAGGTTAGCATCAAAGTACTTTAACCAATGTGTCATCAGGGCTCTTAGAACACTTTTCCCTTCCCTAAAATTTCCTTCATACCTATCTGCAGGAAATGCATATATATATGCAGGAAATGCATAAATTATGTATGAGGAGCTCTGGTAGCATAGTGCCTAAGGCACTTGATTGTGAACCAGAAGGCTGATGGTTCAAATCTATCTATCTATCTATAAATTTAAAAACTGTGATTTGGGTTAAAGTTTACAGAGCAAATTCACTTTCCATACAGCAGCTCACATATACTTTGTCTCATGGCATTGACTACAATTTACCACAGTGCCAACAGCTCCCCTCCTGCTTCCTCCCCATAGTTAACTCTTCCCCGTGTCCTTCCCTCCATGCACTCTTGTTCCCTGAGCTGTCTCCCTGTGCATGCACAGCCCTTCTATCCTCCCATGCCTGTTCTCTCCAAGGACTGTATCTACCTAATGTAAGTGTTCAGCTTATATGTCTGTTTTTTGTTTGGCTGAAGTCACAGGAATGGATTCAATTCTAGACCTGAAGGACAGCTAGGGGCCACAGTCTCAGTGGCTCCATCAGGCTTAATCAGACCAGCAAACCTAGTCCCTTTTTTCTTTTTTAATGACTTTGAGTTCTGTTCCACATTGTTCTCCCACTCTATCCAGGATCTTCATACATAGATCCCTTTCCGAGTGGTTGACAGTGGTAGCAGGGCATCATCTAGATTTTCTGATCTCATAGTCGTATAGGCTGAGGATCGCACAGTGTACCAGTTGCTTGGACTATTATTTTCATGAATCTTTGGTTTTCTTCATTCTTCTTTGTTCTGGATGAGGAGAGACCCACCATTGCATCTAGATGGCTGCTTGTGAGCTTTTAAGATCTGAGTCGCTACTTGCCAAAGCAGGATGTGGAACAACGCTTTGTGTAGTATGTTCTGCCAATTGAACTTGATGTCCCCTGTGACTATGGTCCTGAGCCCAAAGGTCCAACTACTTGCTCCCTCTGGGTAGCTGGCTGTGGCCAAGAAGTAACTACAACCTTGTCCCTTGTCAGCTCTGCTATATACCTGGGAATTCTTACAGAACATAGCAATACATTTGTAGAAACATTTGTCTGCCAACCCTATACATGGTCTTGGGCACACTGCTCCCTGCAGAGACATACCTAATAGTTCAGCCTGTCCACCCATCTATCTGGTCGTATATCCATGTTTGCTTTCACTGACAATGCAGTATGTGCAAAAGGGTTCTTTGTTGACTGTACCTCCCATGTACCTCTCTCTCAATGCCACTGTGTTGATCACTCACATTTGGTACATTGCCCTTCTCGTCACCCAAATCAATACTTGTCTCTACCTATCTAACAGTGTTCCCTCCTCTTCCCTCCCCACCTAGTAACCAACAAAGAAAATTTCCTTCCATATATAACCCTTTCCTTGACTTTTTATAATAATGGACTAATATAGATTTGTCCTTCTGTGATTGATGTATTTCACTCAGCATAATGTCCTCCAAGTTCCTTCACATTATGTGGTGTTTTGCAGATTCTACGCTATTCTTTAGGGTTGCATGGTATTCCACTGTGTGTATGTACCATAGTTTGGTTATCCATTCTGATGGGCACCTAGGTTGCTTCCATCTTTTGGCTACTGTAAATAGTGCTGTGGTGAACGTGGGTGTGCATATATCTGTTCTTGTCTTGGCTCGCACTTCTTTAGGATATATATAAATAGACACACATATATACTCACACACATATCTATATGTACATATACACACATACATATACACAAATGACACATATTTATATTATTATTAAACTTTTATTTATATAAAGTGCTTAAAATGACAATTTGTGGGTACTCACAATTTCTAACATAAAATAAAAATAAATTAGGGTAGGTTTAAAGTAGGAAGTCCCTCTCGATTTTCTCCAACAGTTTCTTACCTGAGATGTTCCTTATCTTATACTACTCTACTTCCATGTTTCAAAGAAAAATGTTCTTTTACTTTCCCCTCCTCTCTTGAATATTAATAGGTATATACCCATCTCTGTAGTGTTTCTATATTCATTAAATATCCATCCATTTTTAGTGCTTTATTATTTAAATTACATATTCACCATATTTTTTGAAACATACCAGAGCAATAAAGCAGTACTGTGCTCTTAGCACCACTTTAAGAATAGTGTTGCACAGTTATCTCATGCAGAAACTCTAATTTCTTTCTATATGCAAAGCTATTACTATACCACAGTTTCTTCTAATTTGAAATATAGGAGAGCAATACTATAACAATCTTTTCTGCATATGTCACAGAATTGCATTACACCCAGGAGTACATGTAGCCAATTCAGTTATGTAATGATCCTAGTATATAAGCACAATAATTAATCTATTTGTGGATTTTATTCTTAATTTCAAAACCAAACCAGATCCATTGCTATTGAGTCAATTCTGACTCATAGCAACCCTTTAGGACAGAGTAGAACTGCCCCATCGGGTTTCTAAGGCTGTAAATCTTTACAGAAGCAGATCGCTTCATCTTTTTGCCCCACAGAGCAGTTGGTGGGTATGAACCAGCCGACCTTTTGGACTTACTGCTTTAACCACTACCTCACCTGAGCTCCTCATTCTTAATTTAGATCAGTATAAACTCCTACAGGAGCTCATACACTGTGTAATCAGTAGAACGCAGTTGTAAGGGCATGAGTTCAGGGATTAGATAGTTAGATGTTTAATTTTGCTCAACTAATAACAAATCAAGGCATGTTACTTAATTTTTTACTGAGCTTAAGTGTCTTATAAGCTATAGAAGTTAACCAACAAGGCTGTTAGATATTAAATTTGATAATTAATGTAAAATATCTAGCAAAATACACATTCAATGGTAAGTTTTAATTGTTATTGATAGTAAATACAATTTGTAATAAGAGTATCATTCGAATTTCAAATTTAATATATTTAAAACTACAAAACCAATATAAAATACAGAGGTGCACTACTTTGAGTCAAACTACAGGAAGAAATTATGCAAATGCCACTAAAATTAAAAAAAAAAAAAACACACACCTTAATGGTACTGGAAGTAAAAAAATTTTATCTAATAAAAACAGTTGTACTGTGTACCTGAAAATAGATCCAGCCATCAACAGAAAGAAGACGCTCCCGGTGTTGAACTTCTATATCGCCACCAAAAAGTAAAACTGGAAAAGGGGTTATTAGGGTAGTTTCCCTTAAATACACCCTGGCATATCTTACCTGCATAGGAAAAAAGGGGTGAAAAAACCAACTTGAAAGACTACAATTAAAAAAATTCATTTATCTGTTTCATGTAAGCATTTTAAAAATAATTTGTGATTACTGCAACAAAGAATTTGTTGTGAGTAGGGCTGGTTCAATCATTTCTAAGTGAGGGCAAATTTATATACATAACATTAAAGGGCTAGACAGAGTTGTCCATAAGTCAAATGTTTATAACCCAGGGGCTACCTGAAACATCTATTTGCTACATAGACAGTAGAAGATGATAGGTTAGACTAGAAACCTTACATTTTTTCTTTCATTAAAAGAAATAGGCAATTTTGGTTGTGTGAGAAACTCTGTACACATCTTGCTTTAAAACCTAAGAACAAATGAATAGCTCAACTTTAGAATCAAATAAAATACATGTTGGGACATCCTGACATGAGTTTTGAGTAATTTCTAAAATATACTGTTTACTAGAACTTAAGAATGAGTTGATTAAAAAATTAGAGTGAGAACTTCACCTTCTCCTGGTATAAGAGCCATCCGTAAGTTTGCAAGTCTCGGTTTACAGAGGAAGGATGTACTTGTGCTTTGCCCTGGGCTGTCTCCACCATACAAGCCAATTTTTCTGTAACATCTACTGATTTTGTGTAGATTATCTTTCCCACATTATCATATAGTCCAGCGGCCAGTACAGCTTTAAGAAGGGCAGTTTCTTGAAATGAGAGGGTCTGTGAAGTTCTGTGTTCCTCCCAGTTGTTAGAAGTTGTGGACGATAAAAATCCTGCTGCCTTGACCAACTTTATTAACTCCTGTTTTACATCCTGGATTTTTTTTTGTTTAAAAAAAAAAAAAAAAAAAAAAAGATCATAGCTGATTAAAACAGAGAAACTACCAAACTACCAAATAACCTTGTAATATGTACTACTGTTCCCTATAAAAATCAACAGTATGCCAAATTATTATGTAATTAACTATAGCCCAAATCAGAGCAGAAACCAAAAAGCCACTGGAACGTTGAGGACTAAATAGAGTCAGGTTGCTCCTGCTCCTGCCCCAAGACTCTGCATGTTATAAAACTTAAGAATGTCTAAGATGTAGGAGCAATAAATATGTACCCAAACACATATTCACTCACTGTATCTATGACTTTAATGGTAGCTCTCCTTTCTTTTGACATTTTTATTCAAATGATGGTGGTTACAGAATAGCATGGAGGAGGAAGGTAGTGAAAATCATCTTCTTGTCTCTGGGAGACTCACCTTAATTTTCTAAAGAACTTTGAGAAATTTATTAATGGTAACTTCATTTAATCTAAAATTATAGCCTAAAATCTCTTTCTACCTTCATTAGTAGCTAAATCAGCTACTAATTAATAAATAATTAACTAATCAGCTAAAATAGTATAGGAAGGATGAATATTTTTCAAAGTAAACAGGATACAAGTGATTAAAAAGTGATATTTACATTGAGGATATCCTGTAGGTTTTACGTGTGAGGCTTAAGGGACTTTGATTTCAGGGGAAGAAAGACCAAACAGATATCTGCTGTAACACCACAGGGTTGAAGAGATCTAAAACTTCGAGTCCAGGGTGGGTGATGAAAAGGCTCATGGAAAGCAAGGCGTGGGGACAATTAGAGAGGTGACAAGGAAGTGTTGATTAGCTTTCCACATCTTGAATCCCAGTCTGATCCAGAGATGGCTGTTTCTTTAATTTAGCCCTTTATCTGCTTTCAGAAAGGGAAAAAGATCATTCCACTTAGAGATGTCCCTGCTGTCATCCCAGTGGCTATTTTAAATTTCAAAAAACTAGTGGATCAAATTATATGAGGAAAAAATAATTTTTAATCTTTTCAAATATGAATATTGAATATAGGAATTATGTGAAAGATACAATGTTTATTTTCTGAATACCTTTATAACATGTCTGCATGTACTAAATACCTTTTCCCTTTAAATAAATATTGAAAAACATGCCGTGCACCAAGAATAAAAGGCCCATGGAACAGCCCTGCCTCACACAAGCACCTGTCTTTACATTTTGACTACACTTCTACTCTTCCCTCCTAGAAATAATTCTAGCCTCAACTGCAGTCAAAACGTGAGGAATGGGGAAAGCCATCAGATTTCCCTTCCCAAGCACAGATTTATAAATTTGGCCAGTCAGTCACAAAGTATGATGTCCTAGATGCCTTTCTACAACTAGGTCATTATACAGTGTAGCTAAGTAGCCGGCTAGTATTCAGGAAAATATGAAAAAGCCAGGTCTTTTTGTAACAATGGTTGATCCCAAGTCTGGTGCATAAAATACACAAAGTAAGCCTGAATGTCTTATCATACCAAAGGCAGGAAGCTAGCAAAGACTGTGTGGGTTATGTGAAAAGGACTCAGAGTGGGGTTCCCACTGGCCAAAGATGGAAAAATTTGAGTATCCAAAACTTAACATTCACAGTAGATTGAAACACATCAAATATATTTAAGTAAATGAGCTCAAAATGATTTTTATAAAAAGCACTCATTGATTACCTGTGGAGATCTAGGGAACCAACACATTTTGTAGACTGCTAAGTAAAAGGAAAGAATCAAGCATTTATCCTAAGTTTCATATATAAAGTGTACTTCAGGACAATCAAATATTGGTAACAGAAATTTCTTTTTAAAAGAATTATAGCTAATAAATAGAATATCACTATTTCCAATACTTATTGAAATGCTGGTAATGAGTGTTATCAATGGCTGCTAAAATTCTGATGGGGAATTTTACAGTGGATGAATCTAGCTGATAATATCAGATCCAACTGATGAATTTTAATATTACAAAGGTGATAACTCAAAAAACAAGCAGCCTGAGCTGTCAGCTGCCTTTGGGTTGATTTTAGCTCATGGTGACCGACCCCATGTGTGCAGAGGAGAACTACATTCCAGGGTTTTCAAGACTGTGACCTTTTGGAAGCAGACTGCCAGGTCTGTCTTCTGAGGTAACTCTGGCTGCTTTTGAACCACCAAACTTTCAGTTATTAACCCCTTCCTTAATCATCTGTGCCACCCAGGGACTCTTCAACCATATCTAGAATGTAGGAAGCTACAGGACAATTGACCTGGTTTCTCTGAAAAATAAACAGCAAGTGGAAAAAAAATGAGAGAAGTAACTATAAAAGAGACTTAAGAAATACATTAATAAAATTCAAGTGCAGACTTTGTTTGGATCCTGATTGGAACAAATTAGCTGTGAAAAAAACATTTATTAGGTAATCAGGGACATCTGAATACTGACTGTGTATATCTGATCACATTAAAGAACTATTATTTTTTTTCTTTAGGTATAATAATATCATACTGAGGTTAAAGCATTCAGCTGCTAACCAAAAGGTTGGCAGTTCAAACCTACTAGCTGCTCTGCAGAAGAAGAAAGATGTGGCTGTCCACTTCTGTAAAGATTACAGCCATGGAAACCCTATGCGGCAGTTCTACTCTGTCCTACAGAAGTGCTATGAGTCAGGATTGACTATGACAATGGGTACGGTAATGTTAAAAAAAAAAAAAAAAAAGAAAAAGTCCTATATCTTAAGAGATTGTGTAACGATGTGATGCCTGAGATTTGTTTCAAAATAATCTAGAGGGCAGAAAGTGGAATGAGGTCAAGAAAAAGAAAAGAAGAATGGATAATTCCAATTATGGAAGTAGGTAATGGGTACACAGGGGTTCACTATATTATTCTTTCTACTTTGGTGTGTTTGAAATTTTCCATAATAATTAAAAAAAATAACAGTTTCTGAGTTGAGAAAAACTATGTTGTTCCCCCTTCAAGAACTTCTTTAGCAGTGAAGGACTAAGATCTAAAGAGGTTAATTAAGGAGCTCTGGTAGCATAGTGCCTAAGGCACTTGACTGCTCACCAGAAGGCTGACGGTTCAAACCCACCAGCCACTCCTTGGAAGGAAGGTTGGGCAATCTACTTCCATAGTGATACTGCCTCGGAAACCCAAGGAGGGGTCGCTGTGAGTCGGGGCCGACTCGACGGCAAACAACAACAAAGCTGAACTGTTGAATAAAAAACTATTGTTTCCCAAGTTAGTGATATTCCTATGGACTCCTATGGAATAATGTTGCCTCCTTTTTACCATTCCCTGGATACATTATTACTGTTGAATATTATATTTTAATCACTGTGTAATACATCCAGGTTACTTGGTAGGAGAAATAAACCAAAAACCAAACTCACTGCCATCGAATTGGATTCGACTCAGTGATCCCTCCTTGGGTTTCCAAGGCACTATCACTATGGCAGTAGATTGCCCCATCTTCCTTCTGAGGAGCAGCTGGTGGATTTGAACTGCCAGGTTATCAGTCAAATGCCTTAGGCACTATGCTACCAGAGCTCTTTGGTAGGAGAAATAATGAAATGAAAAATTATAAATTCATTAATTCAATAAATGTGTATCAAACCTTTGTATGTGTCAGGCATTATTCTAGGAAGTCCTTTTTCCTAAGCCTGAATTAGAGAATCATATTAAAACTTACCTCTAGGGTTAACATTGATGTTCTGTTAAGAAAGTTTCTCCGGCAATATGCCATTTCAGAACGAAAGCCGCCTTCTTGTCGGGCTTTCTTCCACCTAGATAAATAAAATGACAGAAGTTCAGTATTTTTTCTTCCATGTTCTTTTTTTCAGAGGTACTAACCAACCAAAGTAAGGTTTAATTAAACTACAAGCATTTAAAAAGAGGAGTGATCTTGCTTGTAGTGACAGTTACCAATTACATGTAAGAATTTCAACTGCAATGCAGATTTTTTGTTAACAGTAAATTATTCAATTACTTCAAATATGAGGTAATATAATATAAGTACACTTCTATAAATTTTAGGAAGGACTATAAAAATATGAACCTCTAAAATGATCAATTATATCCTGACCAAGAATTAACTAAAAATAAATCTTAGCCCACTGCTACAGAGTCGATTCTGACTCATAGCGACCCCCGTTACATTGCCAAGACTGTAAATCTTTATGGAAGCAGATTGCCTCATCTTTCTCCTGTAGAGCAGCTGGTGGGTTCAAACTGCCTACCTTTTTGGTTAGCAGCCCAATGCCTTAATCACAGCACTATCACAGCTAAATCTCAGAAGCATGCATTTAATGAAAGTCAAAGATAAGCTTTTTAAAAAGTAAGTAATTTCAGGTCATTGCCTTATTGACAATATACAGATTATCTCTCACCCCAGATAAGCATTGTAGATTGTCAGGTGGTCTGAATCAGCTATAGCCAAAGCTGATTTTGCGAGATCTGCTTCATCTTTTCGACCAATTGGTGTGGTAAAAGGAGACTTCTCTGTCATAACTGCAGCGAGTGTTGCCTATCCACAAATAACCAAGCACTTTGTCATTAAAGAGGTATATTTTCAAAGCTGATTTGTAAAAGACAGCAAATAATAAAACAATCATGTTATAAGTTGCATGTTTCTTTTTAAAATACATTTTTTCATGTTCTATAACAGCCAATGTCATTTTATTAAGTAGTTATTTTTAATTTCACTTTATGAAATTTTTCAACTATGTCATCTGAATTTACTTTCATACCATCTCTGTGAAGTAAGGAGAATCAATATCACCAGAATCAGAGTTTTTTTTTTTTTAAATAAAGAATGTATAAGTGATTTAAAGTCTGTCATACAGTGAGAGGCAATCCCAGAATAACAGTTAGGTTATCTTGATGCCTAGTCTGCTGAACTTTCATTACCAGCAATGTTCTCTAAAAATAATTTGATCTCTGTAATAACCCATTTGTTGGTGCAGCTTTTCAGATCAACTATCATGGCAGAAATTTGTTAGAAAAAATTTGCTCCTACAGAAGGGTTTATTTAGCTGAACTGAAGACAAATGGGATTATACCCATGAATATATATATATAGGTTTGACAGAAGGTATTTCTACATATGTATTTTTTTCTACATAT